GGCTCCCCCTCCCATGAAAGGTTGGACTAGATGATCATTTGATGTCCCTTCCAACCTGAGCTGTTCTATGATTCTATCAAATACACTGATACTATTACAATTCTTGGTTTGGAAGAGGTTAACTTTTCCAGGCAATTTTCCAGTAGGAAGGAAGCATCAAGAACTCATTTTGAAAAGGAGCTCACTGGTATTTCATTAAGTTCAGTTAACCACAACATCCTGTCAGCAAATTAATTTGTAAGACAAACTGCAGAAAGTGAGCATACATGGGAAAACTGAAACAATACATATTCAGGTTTTGTCTAAATACAAAAACCCCATCATTTCAGTAATGATTCAGGTACATAAGTAATTCTGTCTGGAGAAAGCCCTTATTGATTTCCTGCAGCTGATTCATAAACCTGTTGCTAAACTATTTATCAAATGGAATCATGAAAAAGTCTATCTGGCAGTTGCTCATATTTCTTCATACATGTTGCAAGTCCATATCCTTACCCTTACTTCATTATCTCTTTTTACAGTAATATCACCTTTGGGTCTTCAAAATTTTTCCTTTCTTGAGAGGTCCTCTGCTGTAGATCAAGGATTTTGCTTTTAGTACAACCTTAGCTTCAGCTTTCAGAAATTTGTATATGTATTATTATGAGATAATTACAGAACTAACTACTTACCAGCTCTCAAGGTAATGAATGAATTTCTACGCACTTTCACTATTTACTGAAAAAAAGCTATTGCTGAGTGGACAGACTTATTAACTTAATCAACAACACACAGTCTCTCCCTTCTCCAAAATAAATGTTTTTTTTATGTTGCTTACTGAGCTTGAAAACTTGAAAGCTAAGTGCTTCCTCTTGGACAGGCTGTGTGTCTGAAATAACTGCTTTTAACAGCCTCAGAGCATCATTAAACCTTTAACACGTTTTAGAAATATTTGATCATCATCCCCCTTACTTAAAAAGTTACTTAGAATTGGTAAATCGAACATTGCTAAGTAAAACAATGTCTTGCCATTTACTTGTGCTTACTATTAAAGTACTTTAATTAAGACTTCTGGAATTAAGTTAGCGAATTAATTAATTTACAACTGCAATAAAAAAATCAGTAAGAAACCCATTAAATATCATTAATAAGTCAATACATTACTTAGGAAATGAACTCTATTTTTATTACTAGAAATTACCATCAACTATAAAATGCCACTGTACCAATTACTTTACTTGTAGAAGGAACAAATTTTTAACTGACATTATTAAATTAATGTATAACTTCTCTGCAATTGTATTTTTTTTTTCCTTTTGATACTGCACTTATTTAAATAGTAAGTTGTAAGAAAGATAATTAGACAATCAATAGTTTAGGTTTTACACATTGACAAACACAATCTGCTTCACATTTAAGACAGTAATTGAAAGTCAATTGGCTGTAGGATGATAGACAATGCTACCTGATAACTGTCCTGATCCAAAACCTACAGAAGTCCAAGCAGCCCTTCTAGTGACTGCAGGGGCTTTCTGATCGAAATCTAATCCTACGGTTCAGGAAAACTGACTGTAACAAAACCCAACATCTAGCGAGCATCAAGTGCTAAAAAGTCCTTAAAGAACTGAAGTCAGAGGATGGAGTGCACGAGAATGGTGGTGCTGAACTACAGCAATGATAAGAGATGCACCAAATAGAGTTTTGGCCAATCCATTTAAAAACAAAACCAAACAAACCAAAACCAAATTAAACCCCTCAATCTGCAAGGGCTTTCCTTTTTACTATCAAGCTAACCAAATCAAGACCAATGGGAATTGGGAAATGCTAAGATATTCAAGCAACAAATCACTTTGATTTTCTATTCTGCTGCAGTATTGAATGAAGAAAGGGAAATGTGCAGTACAACTAAGACATTGCAATAATAGAGCTATGTTTCCACTCAACAATTCTGAGTTAGATGGGATATGAACCTAGAATTTTTAAATTTAGGATTTTTAAAAAATTATAATTTTATCAGCATCTGAATTTATTTTTTAAATTTTAATTTTGCATTCAATACCAAATAGGCTGGGTTTGGTTTTTTTTTTTAGTTCAAATGCAATAAAAATCCCATCTTTTCCATTACTAAAGAACTAAAAAAAATGGAATTCCCAGTGCTCAAAAGCAATTCCCAACCTCAAACTCCTACCTTCTTCAAGCTCCTGTTGGCATCTGATTTAGATCCAAACCTGTATCCACCTATGGAAACGGCAGCCTAATTTCCTATGACTGTCTATGTATCTTTTAAATTGTGTATATGGTCTTTAAAAGGCTTAGAAAATTAGGCTGAAGGCTTATTACTGTTTCTCATATGTTTCTTTCCCAAAGTCACCCATGTTTTAGATGCTTCAGTGACATTAAGGTACCCAAGTAGCTAAGCTGCCCAAAGGCTTCTAACAGCTGCAGAAAAATTAGACTTCAATCAATCTTTTCTTATTGCTTTCTCTATTTCCTACAAGCCTAAGCTGCCAGCTCATCACCAACTTCTTCTCTAGTAAAGCACACAGCACCTCATCTTCAGCTGTGTGCAAAAGGCTTAGTTGTTTCAATCAACTGAAAAAAGAACAAGTAGTTTTCTTTCCTGGTCATATTATTCATATACCGTGTCCTGTAAGCAGAGTAGGGAGTGTAGCAATTGCTACAAATCTGTAGACAAAATGGGAGATTTGTTCCTTCTTTTGCTGACAATGTATCTTAACAGCCTCAGCAACTGACATCTGTTATCTGTAGAACTGTGCCCAATACTGGCATGAGCTCACTCAGCTGACTATCCTTCACCTATGGCTCTCCTTCATGCTCTCCCAAGAGAAGAATTCATGTACTTCATGCAAGCTGAGTATCTCTTGTAGTCCGTGTGTTGGTTTAACTACAGGCAAACCACGCGGTCCTTCACTCACTCTTCCCACCCAGTGAGATGGGAAGGGAATCACAACAAAGGGGCCATGGATTAGGATGAAGGACAGGGATGGCTCACTCACCAATTAGTCATGGGCAAAACAGACTCAACTTGGGGAAGAAAAATCAAATTTAATTCATTGCCATTCATCCAAATAGCGCAGTGAGACACAACCACATCTTACAACACCTTCCCCCACCCCTCCCTTCTTCCTGGGCTCAAATCACTTTACTCCCGTTTTCTTTACCTTCTCCCCACCAGAAGCACAGGGGGAAGGGAATGGGGGATGGAGTCAGTTCACCATTGCCACTCTTCCCGGCATGAAAGTCCAGGAACAAAGTGTTCCAATGCAGGCTTCCCATGGAGTCACAGACCTCTTCGGGCTCAGCTCCTAGCTCCAGCATGGGGACATCCACAGGCTGCAGGCAGGCCTCTGGTCCAGCGCATCTCCTCAACCCCCAGCTCTGGGCTCCACCCCCGCTCTGGCATCGAGTGTCTTTGGGATCTCAATTTCAGTCACACTTGCCCTCAGGCTCAGCTTTTCTGCTCCAGTATGGAGTCCTCCATGGCCTACACGTGGGTCTCTGCTCTGCTGTTGAACCTCCATGGGCTGCAGGGACCTCATTTGCCTTCTCCTGCTCCATGCAGTTAAACTGGGTGTCTGAGTTTTTCTGACCTCCCCTTCCTCCTCCTTCCTCCTGGCAATGAAGCTCTCTCTTTGTTTAGGCCGATCGTTGTTCAGGTCAATGGCCTCTCCTCCAGGTTCTCTTCTCCACCTTATTTTCAAGACAGTCCTTCGCCTCACAAATACAGATTCGCAGAGGTGTTCCTCTAGTGCTCATTGGCTCAGCCTGGGCTGGGGTGGGGGGTATGCCTTGAAGCCAGGTTTCTCATAAGGTGGCCCTCTCCCTCACTACCAAAACCACTCCTCTCCAACCTCCAAACCCAACACAATATGTCATAAAGTTAGTTGTAATGAATTCCCCAAACTCTCTGGATTTGAATGACTTCTGCCCTAGTCACCTTTTTGTTTTGGGGAGTTGCAATATTTTCTTTTCAGCCTTAGAGAGATACCAAGCTGTGTTCCATACATCAGCAGCAGAACTGGTGCATTCTGTCTGAACATGACTTGCGCCTTCAGCACAATGTCAGGCTGCTACTTGCTGGAGCTTAGAGATCACCTTTCTGTATGGATAGTGCAATAAACGCCTTAATACAACTGGGCTTTGTGGAGAGCAATGTAAATAACCAAAATAATATATATTCTCCAGCAGATTTCCCTGTCCTAGACATGCTGAAAAGAAGGACATGCAGCTCAGCCCAGCAGTACTCCAAATAAATAAAATGGACAAAAGTTAAGTGTTAAGTGCTATAAGTAATAATATTCTTCATTGACATGCTACCTAAAGATTTCAGTATGATTCACAAGCTCAATAAAGCTGGTAGAACTAAAATGCAGCTGTTTCTGGCACGAAGCACTAAATTTACATACTTGAATTGATAACAGAGCTTGTATTTAAAAAACTAACCCCCATTAAGGTTGCCCATTACTAAAATTCCACACACTACATTGAACTATTAGGGGTTACTCAGCAATAACTGCTTTGGAACATTGCCAAAGAAAAGCATACTTTATTAGAATCCCACAGTTGTTTAAAAAAACAACCCTGAAATTTGTTACCAGGAACATCGAAAAGGTGACTTGCAAGCTATCTGTCTAGGAACTAATCATCTGTTCTACTTTCTGCTGCAGAAAGTGAAGTTGCCAGGATAGGCATCTAGCAAACCAGGAAGAATACTGCTCTGGTTCTCTCAAAATGAAAATTTCCTAAAAATTCCTTCCAAAGCAAAAAAAAAAAAACCCCAAACCAACCCAACTTGTTTCCTTCAAGAAGTTAAAAACTTCCAAGGCAACATTAAAAAAAAATTGTTTCCTGAAAAAGACCCCCTTTTTTTTTAATGTAAATGATTGATTTGGTAAGAATCTTTCATTCTGTGAAAGTTCTATAACAGCCAGAAATCATGCTCCTCTCCAAAAAGGCACCAAAAGACTAAGAGCTAGAAGCAATAAAATACTCTATGTTACCTGTACTGCAGTTCTTCATTGCAAAGGAATCCACAGCCGCTATGCTCTTGTTCCCATCAGCAACATATTCCAGTGAGATCCGAAATGGTTTCTCAAGATGTCCAACTCTCCTTTGAAGCAACACCCATCTGGTCTCATCATAAAGCAAGAGGAAAGAACGAAAGAGAAGAGAGGTAAGAAAGGCTACTTTACAAGGACCAAATCCCCCAAAGCAGCAGCTCCACATGTGCCTAGTCACACTGTGCCTCCTACCCTAGCCCTTACTCCCCTCACGGTGCCCCATGGTCACGGCCTTTCCCTCCCATGGATTTTACAAAAGCAAGTTTCTAAGCACCGAGATTTCCACCCAGCTAAGATGTGGAAAACTGATCTAAACAGTAGCTTATTGCTCTCTTCTGTCACACTTCTGTGCTCCTGGATTTCTCACAGATGTCTGTCTGCTGTTTAAAAGAAACCTAACTTTCTTTGCAAAGCAAGCTGTGAAATCTGTGGCACACATTCACGTCCTCTCTAAATATTGCTCCTCCTGCTTCTCACCAGCGAAGTCTCTTAGTCACTCAGATGATAAGCTGGTCCCCAGGGCTTGCACAATAGCTGTAATTCCCAGTGCTGCGTCGCTGGTTGACATAACACACTTTGCTTCTAACGTGGCTGGCTGGAACATCTACACATGCATGAACCACTATACTTAAAACATGCTACTTCTCCTCCTCACATCTCCTGCCCCCCACCTCCCAAACAAACAAACAAGCAAACAAAAAGTCCTACCAAGTAAATCAAGGAACTAATGAACGGGATAAACAGCCCTGGAGATTAACATCCACACTCCAAGAGTGTTTCAACTTAGTCTGCTTCGCCTGCGTACTCTTTGAGGTGCTAGAAGACATCAAGGCCTGGCTGCCTTTAACATCCACCTTCTCCCCTCTGATCGGCTGGGCCTGCTTTTCTGCCTCAAACACCTTGCCAGCCAGCACAAAAACTGCCCCTAGACCCTCAGCTCTTCCACATCACCTCTGATTTAACTTTCAAATGTTGTGTGTCCAGCAAGACATGTCTAAAGGCAGACAGTAAAAAATGTAAGTATCTGTCTTTTTTCCCAATATACTGGAATTCTGATCTGCAAGAAAAACTGTAAGGAATCAAATACTTGTGTGGTAACATGCTCTGGCCCATTTCACCTCTCATCCTTGGGCCCAGTAAAACCACTTGTTGACACTGTCCGTGAAGGGCTGCCTCCCAAGGGGTGTGTATTACTTCAGCAGTGATACAGAGCCCACTACCCAGTGCCTGCTCACTAACCATAAACGTGATCAGAGATAAGAGATTCTGTAAAGCCACTCAGTCACTACTAACCCACTTTTTCACATTTATCTTCTGTTACAAGAAAAAATACAGTATCATAGAAAAAACATTTCTTTTTAGCATACTGTAACTGGACAGCTGGAGCCAAACAAGGGTCTAATAAAGCCTATTAAGAAATGCTCTTTACAGCTTCAGCTGCAGGTTTTAAAATACGAGAACAAAAACTTACTGTGTTTCCTAAGTTGCATTTAAACATCAATATTAAACATTTTTGAGGAAGACTATTTCTAGTTGACATAATGGGTCGGGGCAACACATTTTTTTCACTGGTCTTACAAAAACGTTTCCTCATCAGGTATCCCCATCACCACCCAGTGTAACGGGTTTGTGCTTGTAGATGGGCTGTGCACAAGAACACATTTTTCTTGATGGAGGGAACGCACTGGAACATATGTTCTGAACAAAAGAAACCACACAGTTTATCTGGCATCCATAACAAAAACCTCCTTCTCCAGAAGCATGCAAAAATTTGGATGTTATCAAGTTAAGACACACTTCTGAAAGAAAATACAACATATGTGTATGACATTTGCACCAACCAACCATCACTTGTGTCTGCTACAAGCATGGATCAACCCCAAATTGCAGACCCTATACTGCTACCAGCAAGGGGACTATTTTTTGCTCCAGAGGCAGCACACTGTTTATCTCATCAAGGACACAATGGTGTCATTATGCTCCACTGAACTGGACAAAATTCCCAGCAGGCAAAGAAGCTGCCAAGGGGTATGTTAAGGACCTAAAGAAAAGTCCTAAGCAAAGGCTACTTAAAGACCCTGCTGACAGCTAACGCAGTTCAACTTGCAACTCAGAAAGGCAAGTGCTGTTTTTTAATGATTTACTAGGTTTCTTCCTCCCTCCTTTTCCAGCAAGAAGAGTGAAACTGGACTGCTAAATTTCATTTTTCGTTTACAGTTATTTTCGTTTCCATATCTCATCTTCTGACTTCTATGCTCGATGTTCCCACTTGAGAAGGGAACATTGGCATCCTCACTCCTTTTCCGCCCCCCTCTCCCAAGTAGATAAATCTGCTTTTACTGAAATTAAATAAAATAAAGCATTGAGAGTATTTTAAATGCCTAGCTTCTGTGTGCATTATTTCTTTTGATGTCATCTCAAGTTAG